TAGAAAGAGACAAAGGCAAAGAGAGGCAGAGAAGCAAATTAAACACATATACACCCCAAGCTCCTCCCTGCTCAGAGGAGATAATCTGGACTCCTGGAGCATAAAGCTATGCCCACCACACAAGGTATAGCAGGTTATCCCCGATATCAACAGGTTATCGAATGAGAGTATATGGAAGCAGCCTCTATCGAGGCCTCCGTATAGATGAGGCGGCGGAGAAGGGTGACTAGATAGCTAAGCAAAACATGAAGAGGCGAAGGAATGCAATGACGGAAACGGAGGAGGCACAAAGGATAGGGAATGAGACGGAGAGAAGAGATGAGAACGAAATATCTCGCTCTCTCGCGAGGTGGGGCGGGCATCACAGGTTATCTGGAAGCCGATCTTTATGACTTTGCTACCCAAACATCATCTGCATATCGAGAGGATGTGCCCAGGTCCTCCCAGATCCTCCCAGAGGATCGTCGTGGTATCTGCTGTATAACACGACTGCAATCCTTGACCGACGAACGCCCACAGTCACGGGTGAAGGGCAGAGTGGGGACAACCGCAATTTGGAACGCCCCCACACTCCTGGGAAGCTGGTGTGGATAAGGACGCCAATACTCATGGGATAAGGACTCCAATCTTCGTGGGTGAGGATACCATAATGGCAACCACTGTTTGGAATTCCAAAACACTCTTGGAAGACTGCCTGTGAGAAGAACGATATGTTGGCGACCACTGAAAAACGCCAAGAATCTTGGAAAGTTGCCTGAAAGAAAGACGCCATGGTAGCGACTACTGAAGGAGACCAAAGACTATGAGGAAGACACCTTAGACACTCGTCTTCCTGCTCTTCACCTGCTCACTTGAGTATGAGTGACGGTGAGTGGCATCAACCAATAAACTGTTCAGAAAATATGACGACCAAACTGGATAAGTCACTGGTATTACTGCCGATAAACTCATGTGTATATTTTGCCGTATTTCGTTTATCGCAAAACTTAAAAAATTTGCCGTAATTTGGCTTAAAACACAAAACTGTTCATTTTTCAAGGGTCGAATTCTACTTCTAAAAACAACTACAGTTCACTAAATGCTACGGTCAGCATCACAAAATGAATACAATTAAATTGTAAAACCCTCTAATTTGACTAGTAGCAATTTGTAAACGTAGCATTTTAACTTTGTTTATTTATGCATTTTAATTCTATACTTTGACTCTGAGATTGCTAAGAGAAGAGATAAGTGGAGGTCGGTAGCTCCACAGCTGGGATCCGAACCCCTCCCCTACCCCCAACCCTCCCCTGACCTTCACCACCCCACCTCTCTCGGATCCCTACACTCCCCCCCCCTTCACCCTCTAAGCATTACTTTTTCTTCGTGTCTAATTATCCCTTAATAGCGCCAGCATGCACACTATGACACGCCTCGGTTCTCAGTGCCACTACTGAATCTCACACGCGATTTATGCTCCAACACTACTCCTGTTATGCATCCCTCGCTAAACCTCTTTGGCGTCCTATCCAACGGTGCATCTCTAGCACACCTCGTCTCTTTCATTCATCTATATCCTATCCACCTTCTGCATTCCCTTCGCCCATCACGCAAGCAGGTAATGATACCTTTAGCTACATTAAATATCCAAGCCACGAAGGGGCAGGAGGAATCCTCGGGCTCCCACAAGATAAACAGCTCTGCCTCCTTCAGAAGACCTCAGCGTTGGCGCCGCAACATAATAGATTTACTTTTTGCCCTGATACGATGGTGGCAGAAGGGGTAAGACAATGGGTTGGTGGCTGGGAATAAATAACCAATTTGGTATGGGGGAGGGAGAGAGAAAGAGAGAGAGAGAGAGAGAGAGAGAGAGAGAGAGAGAGAGAGAAGAGAGAGAGAGAGAGAGAGAGAGAGAGAGAGAGAGAGAGAGAGAGAGAGGGGAGAGAAAGAGGGGGAGAGAGAGAGAGAGAGAGAGAGAGAGAGAGAGAGAGAGAGAGAGAGAGAGAGAGAGAGAGAGAGAGAGAGAGAGAGAGAGAGAGAGAGAGAGAGAGAGAGAAAGGGAGAGAGGAGACGACAAGAGAGGAGAGAATGATTACAGACTGGGATAATTGGGATAAGCATGAACCATTCTCGACTGTTGGAACCTGCGTGATAAAGACACATGCCCGCTTGCCACGTGTTACCAGCCGTCGTATACGCCGCCCAATTAGGTCCTGTGCAAGACGCTCACTTTTACATGCGCCTCAATCACGCACATATCTCTTACGGGATGACATACTTGGTTGTCGTTGATGAATATCGTTTCCCGTTAGAAATAAGAGGAGGGAAGCTATATCGTCCTATACCGTTAATGAAGCACAATTCAATAGCACATTCCATGGAAATATACCGAGTTATTTTGTTGCGTTCAACCAATGCACCGGGCAATAAGGACTTAATTAGCTGTTCATTAGGGAGTTATTTGTTGGGACTTGCCTGTGGGACGCAATATATGTCATTATAATTGGCTCTGGATAGGCTCCTTGACCCTTTGGGTCCTAGGTAATAACTACTTTTCTTGGCCAGAAGACCTGTGTCTATTTCCTTGAAAGACATTCCCAATCTTAAGCTTTGATGACGACTAAACAGTAACTTGTGTATATGACTGGACTCCAAGAGTATCGAGAGAGAGTGAAAATGTTACTCCAACCCACTTAGATCTTCTTAGTGAAGATCTAGGCTACTTTGGCCTCTGAAGACGATGGATCTGGTGAACAGTGTTTAGAGACGTAAAGTCGCTGACGAAGACCATCTGTAAGGAGGCGGGATCCTCCTGCGTCCTCCGAGGCGCGGCTACTCCCTTAAATGCCGCGAAGCGAAAGGAATATTAATTTCGCAGAACCACCGAACTTCATGATTTATCTCCACCATACTAATTAAGTCGGAGATAAGGCCACCTGCAGCCACAGTGACTATCCCTTACCTTCTCCAGACTCATCCCTCCCCTCCTTTACCATACCCCCAAACCCATTACTACCCCCCCCCCCTCTCTATCCTGACCCAGACCGGCTCCAACCCCCCCAACCCCTCTACCATGCACCAGACCCGCTCCACATCCTCCTACTACCATTACTCCAGACTTACTCCCCGATATTCTACCCTCCATCCATCCCATACCCCACCCCTGAGACCCCAGCAGCATATCTTCTATCTCCCACATGATCCATTCTACTGATACATTGCACTTTCTTCACATATCCATAGACCCCCCTTCCCACTCCCCCGACACAGGCACAAACGTAAACATACAAACTAAACAGGTTCGGGGAATTAATCACTCGGGTGATAGCGAAAACACGAGAGAGCTGAGTTACATGGACAAGCTAGGAGAGCGACACCTGTAATTGATGCATGGACAAATACTGATAGACTGAAACAACGTAAAACATACGGGTTTACAGGTAAAGTCGAGTAATAGGAATGGACGCAAGAACATAAGAAGAACATTCAGCAGTCTCCGTGGTGTAGTGGTAAGACACTCGCCTGGCGTTCCGCGAGCGCTAAGTCATGGGTTCGTATCCTGGCCGGGGAGGATTTACTGGGCGCAAATCCTTAACTGTAGCCTCTGTTTAACGCAACAGTAAAATGTGTACTTGGATGAAAAAACGATTCTTCGCGGCAGGGGATCGTATTCCAGGGACCATAGGATTAAGGACTTGCCCGAAACGCTACGCGTACTAGTGGCTGTACAAGAATGTAACAACTCTTGTATATATCTCAAAAGAAAAAAAAAAAGAATTAATAAGACTGCAGAAGGCCTCTTCACTTTCAGCCGTGAACTTTCAGCCATTCGTAATCTGCCATCCCATCCACGGCGGCTTTTAACTGCATCAACACAAACTCAATCATTTATGTCTAGTTTACCCTAGAAACAATAAAATGATTCCACGTTTATTATGTTACCCAGTAACTCGCTCCTTTTTAATCAACAATCCTCTTTTCCCAAACCCATATTTACTTATGTCTTTCCTGAATCTAAACTTCTTCCAAGTAGATCCACTGTTTCGTGATCCATTGTGTGTTGATATATTTAACAACATATTAATATCCCTTT